CAATGTCGAATTCCGAAATCAGGCAGCTGCTCAAACTGACTGCCTGCTACAGTATAAGGTACTTGACAATAAAAACGAACAGTCGTCCAGAATAGAGAAATAAGAAATTTAGGAGTCCGCCAACTACGTCTCATTCGTAGATCTAGACGATGTGCTGATCCCAAGGCTAGCTGGAAATTATCTGGACGAGTTTGCGCATTTATTCAATTCTATGCCAAATGTTGCTTATATTCACTATGCAAAAGAAAATGTCAGATTGAAGACAGGTAATAATCAAACTGTTACAATTTTCAATGTTTGAAAATTCCCTTTTTCAGCCAAAAACCCTGGTAGTTTTTCCCTTAAGCAAATGCTTGGCACGATCCAGTTCGAGAGAGTTAGCGAAACAGGAAAATTAGTTGCTGACCCACGATACGTAAATGCTACTTGGATTCATTTTCCTCTTGCCATAATGAATGGCATGGAAAGGTGACGAAATTTGCAAAAAATTGTAATTTCTTAGAAAATAATTTCTAGATATGTCGTCCCTAACAACGTCAATGCTATCACTCATCTAAAGCACATGATTCTGGTATTGAATCATTTACAAAGAGTCAAAAAATTTTTTGGCACAGATCTAATATTTTTTTGCAGGACGTCCAGTCATCACGACTAACAGATCTGCTGACAGTTCCGACCTATAATCCAAGCTCTGATGAAATCAAGACCGATGCGCCTTTGCTAACGAAACTAGACATTGAAGAGCTTCAAAATGATTTTGAAAGGTAATGAGCGACATGCGGGCGATTTCCGGCAAGTCGCCGTTAAAGCAAGATAATTTTCTTTAAAGTGGTGAAACCACATGTTTCCAGAATGGCTCGTCTCCCGGAAGTAGCGAGGGTATTTCCAAAGCTGCCAAAAAGATTTTCTTATCTTGAAGCAATATCCCGATGCTATGAGGATACCTACTACAAATTTCATTACTCTGGCAGAGTAAACGAGATCAAGTGTCCGGGTCCGGATCGCTGCGTGGTTGGTTTCTATTTTTTTTAACATGGAGACTTAACGAACAAAAATCAGCATAGGTTTCTGAGGGAGTTTTTTATAGAATTCCAATTGACATTGTAAAGCTGTTTTGCCTACATCCTCCTTACTGTACTTACCGTAACCCCATTGTTGTATGGCAAAGGGTGAAAGTCATAAATCTGCTCTGGACTCTGTCATGAGGCTTATGCACTCCAAAATAGTGTCAGCCAAGTTCCATCATAATTTAGCTTCATAGATAGTGTGGGGTTAAAATGACAGCTGTGACCTTGATCGCCTACCGTGTACCTGCCATATACCTACCGTAACCAGCAATGTCTTGTAACGTCAGTCTAGTTCTAAGCTCAATACGATAGTTTCGGGTAGACAGTTAACAGCTGTGATTTTGGTAACCTATCCTATACCTGCCGTTTAACTGTAACCTCGGGTATGATACGGTGGAAGGTTAGGCTCACAAATCTGCAGACTTTGCCATAACAGTTCGGTAGTTCAAGAAACGCCAAACATCTAGGTTCCTTGACCATAAATTAAGTTGGCAGTAGACAGCTCTGATTTTGACCACCTACCTAT